CCAGACAAGCCCATTTTTTTGCGTTATGGCACTGGGTTACTTTAACTGACAATTGCACAGTCATACAACGCTGCACCCAAATTAAATTTATGTACTTTTTTCCCCCACAAATAGAGCTTTCTTTTGGTGGTATTTGATCGCCTGTGTGTTTTTAATTTTTTTGCGCTATAAAAAAAGACCAACAATTTTGAGAAAAAAACAATATTTTTGACTTTTTGCTATTAAACATGTCCAGTAAAAAAAATTTAAAAAGTCAAATTTCATCATAAATTTAGGCCAAAATGTATTCTGCTACATGTCTTTGCTAAAATAAAATCCCAATACGTGTAAATTAATTGGTTTACGTGAAAGTTATAGTGTTTACGAATGGCGGTATACAGTCAGGTCCATAAATATTGGGACATCAACACAATTCTAACATTTTTGGCTCTATACACCACCACAATGGATTTGAAATGAAACAAACAAGATGTGCTTTAACCGCAGACTGTCAGCTTTAATTTGAGGGTATTTACATCCAAATCAGGTGAACGATGTAGGAATTACAACAGTTTGCATATGTGCATCCCACTTTTTAAGGGACCAAAAGTAATGGGACAATGGGCTTCTCAGCTGTCCCATGGCCAGGTGTGTGTTATTCCTTCATTATCCCAATTACAACGAGCAGATAAAAGGTCCAGAGTTCATTTCAAGTGTGCTATTTGCATTTGGAATCTGTTGCTGTCAACTCTCGAGATAAGATCCAAAGAGCTGTCACCATCAGTGAAGCAAGCCATCATTAGGCTGAAAAAACAAAACAAATCCATCAGAGAGATAGCAAAAACATTAGGCGTGGCCAAAACAACTGTTTGGAACATTCTTAAAAAGAAGGAACGCACCGGTGAGCTCAGCAACACCAAAAGACCCGGAAGACCACAGAAAACAATTGTGGTGGATGACTGAAGAATTCTTTCCCTGGTGAAGAAAACAACCTTCACAACAGTTGGCCAGATCAAGAACACCCTCCAGGAGGTAGGTGTATGTGTGTCAAAGTCACCAATCAAGAGAAGACTTCACCAGAGTGAATACAGAGGGTTCACCACAAGATGGAAACCATTGGTGAGCCTCAAAAACAGGAAGGCCAGATTAGAGTTTGCCAAACGACATCTAAAAAAGCCTTCACAGTTCTGGAACAACATCCTATGGACAGATGAGACCAACATCAACTTGTACCAGAGTGATGGGAAGAGAAGAGCATGGAGAAGGAAAGGAACTGCTCATGATCCTAAGCATACCACCTCATCAGTGAAGCATGGTGGTGGTAGTGTCATGGCGTGGGCATGTATGGCTGCCAATGGAACTGCTTCTCTTGTATTTATTGATGATGTGACTGCTGACAGAAGCAGCAGGATGAATTCTGAAGTGTTTCGGGAATATTATCTGCTCATATTCAGCCAAATGCTTCACAAATCATTAGACGCCGCTTCACAGTGCGGTGGACAATGACCCAAAGCATACTGGAAAAGCAACCAAAGAGTTCTTTAAGGGAAAGAAGTGGAATGTTCTGCAATGGCCAAGCCAATCACCTGACCTGAATCCAATTGAGCATGCATTTCACTTGCTGAAGACAAAACTGAAGGGTAAATGCCCCAAGAACAAGCAGGAACTGAAGACAGTTGCAGTAGAGGCCTGGCAGAGCATCACCAGGGATGAAACCCAGCGTCTGGGGATGTCTATGCATTCCAGACTTCAGGCTGTCATTGACTGCAAAGGATTTGCAACCAAGTATTAAAAAGTGATGTTTGATTTATGATTATTATTCTGTCCCATTACTTTTGGTCCCTTAATAAGTGGGAGGCACATATGCAAACTGTTGTAATTCCTACACCGTTCACCTGATTTGGATGTAAATACCCTCAAATTAAAGCTGACAGTCTGCAGTTAAAGCACATCTTGTTCGTTTTATTTCAAATCCATTGTGGTGGTGTATAGAGTAAAAAATGTTAGAATTGTGTCGATGTCCCAATATTTATGGACCTGACTGTATATACTTGGATTTTGTTTTCATTTTTACTAGTAATGGTGGCCTTCAGCGACTTATAGCGGGACTGTTCGACTGCGGCACGCATTCTGACTCTTGGGGGAACTGACTTGGTGTCACTGACATCCCCAGTGACACCAATACAGTGATCAGTGCTAATAAAATGCACTGACACTGTACTAATAGCACTGGGCAGGAAGGGGTTAACATGTGGGGAGATCAAAGAGTTGACTGTGTGCTGTTTTACTGTGTGCTGTGTGTGTGCTTTCAACTATAAGCACACTGCTTTGCATGGTTCTGCTATGCAGAGCCATGCAAAACAGTGTGCAGGAACTGACAGGGGAGAGAACTGTATTGTTTATATACAGTTCTCTCCCTCCGTAGGTAATGATCCTCGATCACCGGATGCTGGCGACTAATCACCCTATATCATTTGTAAATATATTAAAAAGTAAGGGTCCCAACACTGAACCTTGGGGTACACCACTAACCACCCTAGACCATTTAGAATATGAATAATTAACCACTACTCTCTGAATACTGAATTCAGCTAGTTTTTTAACCATTTACATACAGATTTTTCCAAGTCTGTAGACTTTACCTTTCACATTAGCCATGTGTGGGGAACTGTGTCAAATGCTTTTGCAAAATCCAAGTATACCACGTCCACCGCACCCCTCTGTCCAAGGTTTTACTCACCTCCTCATAAAAAGAAATCAGATTTGTTTGGCAACTTCTGTCTTTCATGAATCCATGCTGTCTGTTGCTTGAAATATTTTTTTCCAGCAAGAACTCATCTATGTGGTCTTTTATTAAACTCTCCTGTATCTTCACAACTATAGAAATTAAACTAACAGGTCTATAATTACTTGGTAAAGATTTTGATCCCTTTTTAAATATTGGCACCACATTGGCCTTACACCAATCCAGTGGTACTATGCCAGTCATTAAAGAGTCCCTAAAAATTAGAAACAATGGCTGTGAAATAACAGAGCTTAATTCGTTATGGACCCATGGGTGTATGCCATCCAGTCCTGGTGCTTTATTCACCTTTATTCTATCTAAATATTTATGGATCATATTAATTGTCAGCCAATGTGGATCTTCTGGGTCTGTGTTAATACCATGCCCATTATGGACAAGACCTCCCCCATGCTCCTTTGTATACACAGAGCTGAAGAATGTATTTAATACATCTGCCTTCTCTTTGTCCCAGTCACCCACTCTAGATTATTTTGTAAAGGGCCTACATGCTCGGACTGGACATTTTTACTATTAATATGAAGAATTATTGAAGTTTTTGAAATTTGAAGAATTTTTTGGGGCTTGTCCTGCTATCTTTTTGCAATCTGTCATTTGTTTTTTTTTTTTTTAGACCTTGATTTCCTTTTGACATATTCTACTATTTTCTTTGTAATGTTTAAATGATAGCATTCCTTTATTTATAAATTTAATAAAGGCTCTTTTTTATAATTTATTTAGCTTTTTTAACTTTGGCCGTAAGCCACATAGGTTTGATTTTTAGCCTTTTAAACTTGTTGCCCATAGGAATATATTTTGCATAGTGTTCACATACAGTCTTTTTCAAGAACTCCCATTTCTGTGTTGTGTTCATTGATGCCAATTTTCCCTCCCAGTCTAAGTCTTGGCCCTCCTGGCTGTTAGGGATAGCAGTGACATCCAGGGCTGCCACCCCTGAGCTTACCACCCCCACATCTTCACCCAACTTGGCAAATCTGTTTGGGTGTTCAAACCCAGGGCTGGTCTTCCTTTTCTGTGAGCCCTTACCACTCCCTCTCATTACAGTAACCCATCTTCCTACCTGATAATCCTGTCTAGCTCCTCCACCCTCCACATCAATCCCATTAGGTACCTGCTCAGAGAGCAGAAGACCCCTTTCAAGGTTGTTGGTTCTGCCCAGTGTTACAGCTTGCTCCTCCAGATCTCTAACACGAGCTTCCAGAAGGGCAACCCGCTCACATCTGTTGCAGCGGTACCCATCCTGGAGCTGTTGCTCCATTGTTGCTTGCATGCAGCACACTGTGCACAGTACAAAACCTTCAACCCTGCTAGCACACATTATCCCAGTTACAACATTAACAGGAAATATCAGTTGTCACTTACAGGTTAGTAGACTCCTGTTATAATCTCCTGTTTTCAACTCCGGTTTTTTAACTCCACTCAATCAAATGTCTACTTAGTCAAAAGTCCAGCAAGCATTTAGTTGCACATTTGTATTTTTTGAACTCTGCTTTTTTAACTCAAGCAATTGTACAAGAGCATAAAGTACATAACGGTTCATAATAAGTGTGATCATATAAATTCTCCTGCATGCAAATATTGAACACTGAATAAAAAGTGTGTAGAACAATGACAGACTCTTGTGATTACAAACATAAATTGTAATCTGTTCCTTCTCTAATGTTATCCCTGAAGAAGAGGTAGCTGCAATCCTCAGAAATGCAATGGCTATGCTTTAAATCATACGCTAATAAAGTGATCATTGTTCTTTTGCCAACTGGAGTTTCCAAGAGTTACTATTCATGCATGGTGATCCTCACTCATCTCCCTCCACAAATGTCACATTGTTTAACCACTTGCCTACTGGGCACTTATACCCCCTTCCTGCCCAGGTCAATTTTCAGCTTTCAGTGCTGTCGCACTTTGAATGACAATTGCGCGGTCATGCAACACTGTACTCGTATGAAAGTTTTATCATTTTTTTGAGACAGATAGAGCTTTCTTTTGGTGATATTTAATCACCTCTGGGTTTTTTATTTTTTTCTAAACAAACCAAAAACAACAGAAAATTTTTGTTATAAAATTTTGTAAATAAATTATTTTTTTCCTTCACTGATGTGCACTAATGAGGCTGCAGTGATGGGCACTGATAGGCTGTACTGATGGGCACTGATAGGTGGCACTGATGAGGAGGCACTGGTAGGTGGCACTGATGGGCATTGACAGGCATCACTGATGGGCACTGAAAGACAGCACTCACATATGGCACTGATAGGTGGTACTGGGAGGTGGCACTGACTGGCACTGAAAGGTGGCACTGACTGGCAATGTTAGGTGGCACTGATATGCAGCACTGACGGGCACTGATAGGTGGCACTGATGCACACTGATAGGCGGCACTGATTGGCAGCACTGATATGTGGCGCTGACTGGCACTGATAGGTGCCACTGAAAGGCAGCTCAGATGGACACTGATATGTGGCATTGATGTGCACTGGTAGGCACTGATATGTGGCATTGATGTGGCACTGATGGGCACTGACTGCTGGCACTGATGAGCACTGACAGCTGGCATTGATGGACAATGACAGGTGGCACTGCTGGGGCTACACTGATCATCAGGGCACACTGATCATCAGTGCCCTGATGATCAGTGTACATGTCCCCTCTGAGGAATGCCGATTACCGGCTCTCCTCTGTTCTCGAGCTGTCAGCGATACAGCTTGTGAAGAGAGAAATGCCGATAACCAGTACTTCCTTATTTACATGCGATCAGCTGTGATTGGACACAGCTGATTACATGACCGAGCCGAAGTCTTCGGCTCTTTCCGTTGATCGGTGATCTGCTGTGTCCAAGAGACACAGCGTACCACCGATCACCACGCTGCGTGCTCCCGGAGCCGTACACGCAGTTAGAGTGGAAGGACGTCATATGACGTCCTCCCAGAACGAGAGAACCATCTTGCGCCCGTCATTTCCTTATATGGGGGGCGGGAGGCGGTTATACATAGCAGAAAAAAGGTGTCTACATTTGTTCTTCAGGCTCCAACGGTATGTAGGAACATAGCCACCCTCTCTTGCTTGCTTCTGAGATGGAACTAGGAACTTCGAGCTATGTGTGTACAAAGACGTGCATATGACCACATATGATGTGCACTGCTTGTTCCAAACAAACATGAGAGGAAAAAGAGTTTCAGGAGCTCACAGAGGAGATTACAAAGAGACAGAAAAACACAGTAACAATGTATTTTATGAAACATAGATTACAGGCCCATTAGATAGTGGATTTTGTAGAATAAGATTATAGTTTAATGTCACTCTAAAGCCGTTCTAATTCAAATGTTTTTTTCCTAAAATGAATGTCATATATTCCTGCTCTGGGCAATGCTTGCACAAAGTGGCTCCAAAACCCCTCTTCTGGGGTCTAACACCACTGCTCTTGGCTCCTCTTCTCTGAGTGCTACCATAGCAAGCTGCTTGCTATAAGGGCACTCGTATGGGTTCAATTCTGAGCTGGGCTAATAGGCCAATGATTCCCGCTGCTATCAGCAAGGCCTGTGAGACCAGGAAGGGAAGAGAAGAGCTGCTGCAGATGGGCACAGCACTGGATCAAGAATGGACTCAGGTAATTGTTTGGGGGGGTGCTGAGGGAGCTACTATTGAACAATTTATTTTACCTTAATGTAGAGAATGTATTAAGGTTAAAAAAAAAACTTTAGCTTTTAGAACCACTTTAAGGTTATGGTAGTTTACATTTTGTATTTTTCTAATCTACATACATTGCCATTTTGCACAACCTTGATTTTACTTTTTTAATCAAAGTCCTGAATGCTGCATACAGGATTTTACTGGAACCTGCAATCTTGAAGAATCAGCTGAGCAGCAGAAATGACTGATAAGCACTGGCAGGGAGAGAGATTACATTTGCCATATAGCTGTGTACAAAATGAAAAACCTGCTGTTAATAAATAGACTGGCAGAATAATTCATCAAGAGATGCACAAGCACTCTGGAACACATGCCTGATTATATACTTGATGGTATCTGTCTGTGACTCAGATATCCAGCTGCAGATTATTATTTCCGTTAATCTATGTAATATAAAATTACCCAAGGAACACCTACAGACATGCAAGTAAAAGGGAGAATTTTAAATCTAAAACAGCTCTATTTTTCTATGCCATGTCTGTATCGAAAATTAAAATTGTATAGTAATTAGCTCTCTTAAATGCATTTGAATACCTACTAAAGAATCATTTATCTAGTTAATATATAATCATGAATGCCTAATTATCAAACTGGGAAGGCAGACGCTCAAAACATGGAACACCTGCACTGTACAGAATAGGTTTTGTGTTCATTTCTATGTTTGCTGCCTATGTTTGCTATGCTTTGCTGTTTAATTTATAAATCCTTGCTGAATCAAGGGGAGAAATATAAAATCACTGTGCATAAATTATTATACTGAAGAAAAGTCCTATTTAGAATCAGACTCTTCCTCCAATAAACCTATTCCAACAAACATAGACCTCTGGGTCGAATGTAGCCTTCTGTGCTCCAGCCCATTTTGCAGGTCTGAGGCACAGAAAACCTGAATACTGAGCAGCCTCTGGGGGCTTCTGTGCGTACGCAAGGCTGCCATTTTGCCTTGCGCTCCAAACCCCAGGGGCAAATGATTAGTTTTGTTGCATAGCCGAACAATGCTAAACAAGAGCAATGAGAAACAATGTGCAATGGGTTTACTACAAGCTTGAGCCTAGGTTCAAACTAGTGCTGCTGCATAATAATGCCTTTTTTTAATGCATTTTTACAAGCGCGTTGATGCATTTTCATGCTTCATGCTTTTTCTTTGTAGGAGGAAGAGGACTGGATTTTATACACAAAACTCTACCAAAAATGCACTAAAAATGAATACATGTATTTTACATCTGCTTTCCATTCGCTCCCATTGAAGTCTATGGGGCAAAAAAACGTGCTGCACCAAAAGAAGCATCTGCACTTTAAAAAAAAAAATGTACTGCACTGCACTGCATTGATGTGAACAGGCACCATAGAGAATAATGTGTAAACGAGGGCTGAGTCATCCCTCCTTTGGTTGCTCTAAAGTACCACTAAAAGGATGAAACCTGACCTGATCTTAATTATGCATTTCAGCAGAGACTGCTGAAGAAGAGGCAGTCTAAGCTGAGAGAAATTGTGTTACTAATTTGCTTGATAAATATCTCCCCACTGTGTGCTCATTTGTTGCAACCGAGTTTGGGAACCAGGGGTGGGTGATATGGACAAAGCAGCTTTAAGCAGTCTACTCAGCCTAGCCGAGCCCTTGGACCCTGTTATCAGCCACTACAGGTAGGAAGATGAGTATGGCAATGCCGTCCAGGCTTTCAGGGGATGTGTGGGTGTGGTACTGGGGAAATTATTAAAGCTTCAAGTTTGGAAAGTGCACCCAGTCTCTGTGTCTTGTGTTTATTATAATACACCTTCATTTACCCTAGGTTCACATTTGTGTGGGTGGTGCCGCTGCGGACAAAAATCCGTGCAGCCGCACCTCCCACACAGCGAATTGCGGACCTGCTGGCGGGTGCCATTAGTTCTAATGGCACGCCGCCCGCACTGGAAAACGGTAAAAGCTATATTTGCATTTTTTATTCATGTCATAGTTAGTCAGTTTTACAAAGAATGTATATCCACCTTAATCCTGCAGTTTGCCATTTCCAGAAGATAGCCTATGCAGTTGAAGGGCCCCTGTGCAAGTTAAAAAAACTGAAACTTTGTAAAAAGTTCATCATTCATTTTAGAGTGTTATACCTGCAGGCCATTTGCCTCCCCTAACCCGTTATTCCCATGAAAACTGTTGGACGCTCACTCCCAGCTTAAGGCTCCATGTACATGAGCCTACCCTGACTGCCGGCCGCAGGAACATGCAAAATGCGGCGATTCTTCTGCGTTCAGGAGAGGGAGGTTTAACCTCACCTAAACGTGGCAGCTCCTAAACTCTGCTAAAAGCCTATGTGTACAAGGACACATAGGCTTTTATGGAGTTGAGTTTAGGAGCTTTGGCAAAAAAAATGCCAAAAGCTCCTAAACTCGAGTTTAGGAGCTGCTCGTGTACATGAAGCCTTACAGGAGCAAAAACCAACAGTCTCATGCTACAGCAACAAGGCAGGACGTAGGGATTGCCAACTAGGAGTTTTTCAGCCAGGCTTCTGGAGAGGCCCAAATGACCTACAGGTATGACATTAAATTAATGAACATTTTAAAAAGCTGCAGTCTATTTATCTCTACTATGAACTCTTGACAGCATAGGCGATTAAAGTCTTTAAGTAAAAATGTTACTACAGTTTTCTTCAGTCTGTGCCCCAGCACAATCCCCCTCAAGGTCAATCTGTCCTCCAGTACACTTCCCCCCAGGTCAGTCTGTCTCCCAGTAAAATCCTTCTTTCCTAGGTCAATCTGTCCCCTAGTATACTACCCCCCCCCAGGTCAGTCTGTCTTCCAGTATAATTCTTCCCTCTTAGGTTAATCTGTCTCCAAGTATAATCCTCCCTTCCCAGTTCAGTCTGCCCCACAGTACAATCCCCCCAGGTCAGTCAGACTGACCTAGTGTAATTGTACTGGAGAACAGACTGACGCCAGTACAATCCCTGAATAGTTGATTTTTTTTAGACCCCGCAATAGTTGTGCTAATGTTTATGAAATCTTACAAAATTCCTGTTAATTTCCTACTTCACATGGGCGTACTATAATGTTTACATGCATGGGGAAACAGGAATTCCATGCAATCCTGAGCAGGCAGTCCCATTCATGTCAATTAGGACACAGCAGCTACACAGACACTCTGACATCTGTGTGTGTGCGGGTGCACAGCCCGAACGCAGACAGTGCAAGTTCAGAGACATGAACTAGCACCCACAGAGTTGTCCATGCAGCTGTTGCTTCCCAATTGACATCAATGGGACTACCTGCATGGGGATGCACGAACACCTGTGCATCCCTGTGCAGTTAAACGCTGTATCATGCCCCATGTGCATGAAGCCTTGCCATGTTTTTTTTAAAATTTTTTATAATGCTGTTTTTAGTATTTTTTTTACAGATTTTTTTTTCGGTTGGGGGGAGCTTTGGTGAAACATCAGGGGTCTTAACAGATCCCTCATGTCTCTTTTTTGAGACTGAGAGAGGGTCTGAGCACAGAGAGTCCCCATTGCCTTTTTCTGCAGCCTCTGCTTTACTGCAAATGAATGAATAGAAGTCTCTGTACAGAGGCCCCTATCCATTTACATCACTGAATGATTCAGTGATGAATAAACATGCTGTATTAATTCAGGAAGTGCTCATTTAGGAAGAGGCTGGTAAATATATGTTTACCAGCCTCTCTTACCACTCTACATCCTGACACCAATCTCCATCCCCAGCAGCAGCTTGAGCTGGTAGGAGGGGGAGGAGTGGAAGCCGGCCAACAGCCCTGCAGGAGAGGGTGCTGGGGATTAGTGCTGTGGTGGTAGGGAAGGGGGGGGGGGGCAGTACAGGACAGGGATCGGAGCTCCATGGGAAGGGAATATATTAGGACAATTTGTTTCCCCCAAGGCCACCCTGCAGTAGCTGGAGCAGGGAGAGGGGAAGGAGGCATGCCACTCAGCAGCACTGCAGGGATGGGCCACTGGGGATTGGTGAGGGAGG